TGTCGAAACGGCAGTGCAGACTTCAGTCAATTCCCTCGCCAGCAGGTCACGTATCTCGTTATGACGAAGTGTCGGGAAGCCGCCCCTGGCGCAACATAGCTGATGCTCAACTGAGAACAGCTCACCACACACACAGGTTGCTGGTGTATTGGCTAGCGGCCATGCATATCTCAATGCCAGAGCATCCCGGAAGTCACGCTTGGTGAGACGAAAGCCATGCTCCGCCAGGGGCAGCACGCTCAGCCATGAGGATGATCCTTTCTCCGTGTGTTCTTCTATTCGTCGCTTCGTCATCTCATCGCTCGTGTCCACTATTTTGTTCCTGGCTGCCTTTGCGCGCTCCCGGTTTTCGGTGTGGACGACACGCTTTTTGTGACGCATTTCATCGATCATCCTCTGAAAGGGGGTACCAGCACCAGCAACATCAGCAGCCACATCCGGTCCAGGGTTTGAGTTGCCAGCGACCTCCCGCGGCTGCACCTCCGTTGCCGTCATCGTGGGAGTGGGAGACGCTCCACCACGGTCAGCAGTATCTGCAGAAGCCGGCACATCTCCAGCGAGAGAAATTGGATCGCTATCCTTAGCGAAATCGCCCAGAACCTCCTTCACCATAGGTCCGGACACTTGCTTGGAGCCCTGGTGCTCAAACCGTGGTCGAGTCGTGAGGTCCGGAAGGGCCATCCCACCATCCCGTGTCGGGAGCTTTAGAATATCAATGTCTTTCAGAGGCACGCTCGGTTGTCCCACGAGCTCCGGTAGAAGTGATGATGATGATGATGATGATGATGATGATGATGACACGGAAGGCATCTTGTTTGTAGATGCTACGAATGCGTTCAATTCATTGAATAGAAACGCGGCCCTCCATAACGTGCCCTATGTATGCCCCGCTATGGCAAAGGTGTTCCAGAACACGTACAGTTCTTCAATTCGTCTCTTCGTCTCCGGCGGCGGGGAGATTGAGTCACTGGAGGGTACTTGCCAGGGCGATCCGCTGGCCATGGCTCTGTATGGTATCGCTACAGTCCCGATGATTCGGCGCCTCCAGGAATCCAATCCATCTGTGGCTCAGGTTTGGTACGCGGACGACGATTCTGCAGGTGGCCGCGTTTCTTCATTGTCCACATACTGGGGAGACATAAGCCAACTGGGCCCTGACTATGGATACTTTCCAAACCCACAGAAATCAGTGTTGCTGGTCAAGCCGGAGCATGAGGAAGAGGCCCAGCGCCTCTTCTCCGCCACTGGAGTTACCATCAAGACCAGCGGCAACCGTCACCTCGGCGGAGCGATTGGCAGTGAGGAGTTCTGCTCTGCCTTCATGGCCAAGAAGGTGGATAAATGGAAGCAGGTTCTGGATTCCCTGACGGGGATGGCTGTCACTCAGCCTCAGGCCGCATACACCGTTTTTACGAAGGGTCTGTCATCCACATGGACATACCACTTGCGTTGCTCACCTTGTTCGGCTGAGATACTGGCCGAGCTTGATGAGAGGATCAATGATTGCCTGATACCTGCCCTTCTGGGGGATGGCGTTCGTCCTGGTAGCCCTGAGAGAGAGCTGATGTCATTTCCAGTGCGTCTTGGTGGTTTGGCCCTCCCTCTGTTGCAGGATAGTGCACCAGCAGAGCTCGCAGCATCCTTGAGCATCACAAAGCCTCTTGTTCAGCTACTGTTGACTGGCACATATGCGAACCCTCCAAGCGTGCCTGGTGATATGGCAAGGAGCGATTTGTCGGATACTGCCCAGTCAGAGGGCTCCGGTGATACAACCCAGGAGGTTGCCGACCGAGTGAGGCTCTCCAATCATGATCCCGTCCGCGATGCTGTTGGGGACACCCGCCAGCTGGCACGCTCGACTCGGACAAGCAAAATGCGGAGCCTATGCAGCCGGCAACAAGACATTAAGGCGGACTTGAGCTCGGAGCAACAATTTCTTGTTGAAATCGCGTCCGAAAAGGGAGTATCGTCATGGTTGACTGTTGCCCCGCGGTGGCAAGATGGAACCATCCTGAAGAAATCCGACTTCCGTGATGCCCTGTGCATCCGCTATGGGCGAAGGTTGAGTGGGCTACCCGATTCATGTGTTTGTGGTGTGCCTCTCAGCCCCGCTCATGCACTTACCTGTGCCACTGGCGGCTATACCATTGCCCGTCACAATGAGGTGCGGGACTTGGTTGCTGGACTACTGAGGGAGGCTGGAGTGGTGGACGTAGAGACGGAGCCCCGGCTATTGCCCTGCAGCAGTGAGCATTTGCCTGGTGGTCGTTCCCTCAACCGATGCGCAGAAGCTCGTCTGGATGTGCGGGCTCGCGGCTTTTGGTCGTGGCAACAGGACGCTTACTTTGATGTGCGGATCACTCATCCCGCAGCGTCTGTGTTGTCTCGATCACAAGCCCTGAGTCAGCTGAAGTCTCACGAGCGAAACAAGAAAAATCAATACGCCAGCCGTGTGGTTAACGTGGAGCGCGGCTCCTTCACGCCACTTGTGTTCTCGACGTACGGCTTTAGTGGCCCAGAAACTACTCAATTCCTGAAATCATTGGCCTCCCTGTTTGTTGAGCGCCATACTGAACTGAAGTACCCACTAGTAATGGGCATACTACGCACCCGTTTGTCTTTCTGCTTGCTGCGATGGGCAGTCACCTGCTTCCGCGGTTGCCGCGGTTCGTACGGCAAGAGGCGACAGCCGAACTCATTTCTGGCCCAGTGCCGCCAGGCGGAGTAGGGTGCTGCCTTTGGCCTCAACTTAATATAATGCCATTTGGTTTTTTCCCCTTTTATTACTCTGTGTTCATTGCTTGTTTATGTATTGATTTACTTCCTTGACTGCTTTTGTGTTTCATCATTTTCCGGTTGGTTTTGTGTTGATTTCCCCTGTTCACTTTACATATTGTAATGATATACATTTGCTTTGCCCGTAAAAGAGGCTTTTCTCATGATGATGATGATGATGATGATGATGATGATGATGATGATTTTTTTTTTTTTTATGGTGATGAAGCCACTTCTTTGGGCAAACAAAACACAATTTCCCAAGATGAAGGAGTGGAACCCTACACAAATAATAGTTTATATGAATCCAACGCAAAGATCGTTTTTCCATGAAATACAACAATTGAACACAATTACATGCTTAAAGGCATGAAAGCAACAAAACAGCAACAAAAGGGTAAGCGCCATACCAATCCCGCATGCACAGTCAGGACACAGCACGATACTTAACAAACTAGACCTGACTCGGCCACGGCAATCGAGACATCATGAAAACATCTCGCCGGATGGTGGTACCGTGACCGAGCCCCACGTATGCACAACACAGCAGCACGCAGCAAAGCAAAAGACAGCCGACAGCGGAGTAAACCAATGACCTGGGAATAGTGAGATCCCGATGACTCGGCCTGCATCTGGCACAGTCTCTTGAGGAACACATTGCACAGCCTCCCACAACCACCATGCACAGAGAACACGAGAGGTGTGAAAGCGGCTCTTTCTACATTTGTGACTCTTGGCCCATATTCGTTCCACTTACGCCGCTCGTGCTGCTGGTACAATGCAGGAAGGGTCCTGGACCCGTAGGAAGGAGCATCTGGGCAAAATACCCTTACATCAAAAAAAGCTTCCTCCCCACGGGTCCAAAACCCTCGAGCGGCTATGTCCAGGCGCGCATCCTCTCGGCGGTTCGTTGACCGAAGAGGAAACCTCTCACCAGAAAGAGGTTGCAGCGCTGGTTCTGTCGAAACGGCAGTGCAGACTTCAGTCAATTCCCTCGCCAGCAGGTCACGTATCTCGTTATGACGAAGTGTCGGGAAGCCGCCCCTGGCGCAACATAGCTGATGCTCAACTGAGAACAGCTCACCACACACACAGGTTGCTGGTGTATTGGCTAGCGGCCATGCATATCTCAATGCCAGAGCATCCCGGAAGTCACGCTTGGTGAGACGAAAGCCATGCTCCGCCAGGGGCAGCACGCTCAGCCATGAGGATGATCCTTTCTCCGTGTGTTCTTCTATTCGTCGCTTCGTCATCTCATCGCTCGTGATGATGATGATGATGATGATGATGATGATGATGATGATGATGATGATGATGATCATGATCATCATCACTAGTAATGGGCATACTACGCACCCGTTTGTCTTTCTGCTTGCTGCGATGGGCAGTCACCTGCTTCCGCGGTTGCCGCGGTTCGTACGGCAAGAGGCGACAGCCGAACTCATTTCTGGCCCAGTGCCGCCAGGCGGAGTAGGGTGCTGCCTTTGGCCTCAACTTAATATAATGCTATTTGGTTTTTCCCCTTTTATTACTCTGTGTTCATTGCTTGTTTTTGTATTGATTTACTTCCTTGACTGCTTTTGTGTTTCATCATTTTCCGGTTGGTTTTGTGTTGATTTCCCCTGTTCACTTTACATATTGTAATGATATACATTTGCTTTGCCCGTAAAAGAGGCTTTTCTCATGATCATGATCATGATCATGATGAGATGTATTCATTATTTTAATAGGGGAGCCCTACAGACGGTGTCGTCTTATTGCAGGGAACCCAATGAATGACTGACACAATTGAACAAACCCAGAGCGAGATTTGCTACAGTTGCGACAAGGAAATGCGTGTCGCGAGCTGTGCGTACAGTCGCAAGTTAGTTGCCTATCGCAGAAGTTGAAGAAAATTCACGTTTTGTGACGTGCGATGCGCGACGTCCACAAATAGAGTACAGTTTCTGCTTAGGGAGCACGTGCAGTTTACATCCATAGTACTACTTGTGCATGGGGATGTCGCAAGTACCAACAAGTGAGCCACGTATGGATGTATGATGTCGGTCGGTTTTTGCTGATCGACAATCAACTTTGATGAATCAGTTTCCACCTTCGGCACAAGTGCTCCCTGGTCGAGCTGAAGGACACCGGCAACATGACTCCTACTTGTACAGATAATGGCAAATAGAATTCTTCTCCATGTTGCTGCTGTGAACCAGGTCAGCCATAGAGTACATGTGCTGGAGGAAGAGCTAATTCATCAATGTTACATGCCGAATGCAACATCAAAAACAGGCAACAAACATCGGTATGTGAGAAGGCTCTGCGCTTTGGCATGGGGCACTCTTAGGCCAGTTAGTCAAACCCTGCTATGTGCTGCGATGTATTTGGTTAGCAAACTGCAATGCATACAGTAAGCGCTTCTACACTGAAGAAGATCTAATTGCAAATGGGAAGGGGATGCTCTGCAGCTGCGATCAGAAAACCGCTTGGCAGATGGGGCATACCTTATGGACTGCTGTTCTGTATATTGACATCCGGTGAGAAGTCAACCGGTCAAAGAGCGCTGACCTTGCAGCCATCTCTCTCTCTCTCTGTCTCCGTCACGGTCTCTGTCTCCGTATTTCTCTCTCTCTCTCTCTCTCTCCCTCCCTCCTCTCCCTCCTGTCTCTCCTGTCTGTCTCTCTCTGTCTCTCTCTCTCTCCCTCCTCTCCCTCCTGTCTCCCCTGTCTCTCCTGTCTCCCCTGTCTCCCCTGTCTCTCCTGTCTCCCCTGTCTCTCTCTCTCTCTCTCTCTCTCTCTCTCTCTCTCTCTCTCTCTCTCTCTCTCTCTCTCTCTCTCTCTCTCTCTCTCTCTCTCACTCACTCTCTCGCTCTCTCTCGCTCTCTCTCTCTCTCTCTCTCTCTCTCTCTTTCTCTCTCTCTCTCGCTCTCTCTCTCTCTCTCTCTCTCTCTCTCTCTCTCTCTCTCTCTCTCTCTCTCTCTCTCTCTCTCTCTCTCTCTCTCTCTCTCTCTCGCTCTCTCTCTCTCTCTCACTCTCTCTCTCTCTCTCTCTCTCTCTCTCTCTCTCTCTCTCTCTCTCCCTCCTCTCCCTCCTGTCTCTCTGTCGTATCACTTCAGGTCAGTGTATTATTCGTGCACTGCTATGCTGTGTTGACCGAGGCTGCAATTGAATGCAAGTTTGAACATGGAGACTATTGCAAGTGCACACTCACAAATGGCTATGTACTGGATATGACATCGCTCAAGAACATCTCAGAGTAAGGTCCTTCTGATTATCACTGATGCTTCTCTGCAAAAAAATGCTTTAAGGTGGTTTGCGCCTATTTCTAAGCTCGTCTTCGGCGCAAGTTCTCGCACATCCTACATTCGAAAAAAGTGCATGCAGAGTTGTGTAGCCTGCTTGTAGCTCACTCCAATTTCGAAGGTTCCAGCTCACGCATATGACCCAATCAGTATTCTATGCCCAGCATAATATCGGGCATCGATGCCCGTTTGGTTTGCAATGTAAGATAAAACTTCCGCCAAAAAAACAAACACGAAAACAATCCAATAACCGACGCGGAGACAATAGTCTTAAAACGACTACCACAATACCCACACTACTTGTGATCATATTCTAGCTCCCAGAACTGGTTGTTTTAGTGATTCTTACATTGTGACCATGTTCCACTGATGGTAGTCACGAAAAATCGTTCTGGAATTTTTTCATTTTAATAATTATTGCATCATTAACTTAGAAGTTGCGACTTCGGCGGAAATAGTCATGAAGTTGATTGTTCCTACTAGGAACACACGGATGGCAGTCGTGAGTCAGTCAAGTGTCAAGTTCGGCAAGAAGCGTGTGTTCCTAGTTGGAACAAATCAAACTTTATTGCATTATTGTCCTGGTTGTCTGCACGCAGGTTCCTGAATCCAGCGTACCCGTACAACTGGAGTCCGTGTGGTGACGTCATCAACTATACAGGAACAGCATGCGCTGCAGGAACTGCTGTAAGTAACCAGTACCGCAATGAATGTACCGAGCAGGGAGTCGTAAAATACCAACTCCCTGGTATAGACGGTGTACGGTCAACTTCGCGTGTAACGACACTCGGCAGGGCATCAGAAAAGTATCCTTATTCGCGAAGTGTCGTTATACCCGAAGTCCCATTATATGTGTTACAGTTGGATGGGACTTTGCTCTGGGCATGAACATTCTGTCGTTATTCGTGAATTGTCGTTATATCCGCAGTCGTTATTAGCCAAGTTGACTGTACATGCGCAAGTGCTCTCTGATGCAGGTGCTTAAACAGCACTCATCACAGAGCTGTCTGATAGTTTTTTTGTGAAGGGCTTGCTTGGGGTTTTGCAGAAAGATGGACACTCCTGGAGCTTTTCACATCGCAGCTGCTCTTCACCGAACCAACATTCCACTCATTTGCAAAGTACACTTGTGGAGGCACACACCAAATGTATCGCTTCGGTGCATTCGTCATAATCAACGGATAGCAAGTTAGCAATTTTAAAGAGAGATAAGCCTCCTTTTCTGCATGAAGCTTGTGAGTAGAGACATTTAATCACTTTTTGTTCCACCGGATTTTTGTTTCCACTAAGCTCTGCACACTGTGTATCGAACACTATGACCGGTAGTCAAAGTTCTTCTGTAAAGAGAGATAAGCGTAAAATTCGAGACCCCTCCTAGCCAGCTGGAATCAGAGCACCCTTTACAAATACAAACATCTGACATGAAAATTCAGCACACTTTAACGAAGCAGATCGGATCGAAAGGTGGCTTCGTTCAGTCAAGCCTGGCCTCAAAACAAGCTTTGACAATAATGGCTTCCATCCGAAAGCAGGTTTCCCACCAGCAGTGATTGTTATTTTATTGCTAGTGTGAGTTTTAGCTCGGCAAAAAGGTACTGTCAAAGTGGCTGGACTTCGAGCATCAGGGTCTACTGTACGTGTGTGTGTGTGCGTGCGTGCGTGCGTGCGTGCGCGCGCACGCGTGCGCGTGCGCGTGTGTGGTGTGTGTGTGTGTGTGTGTGTGTGTGCGTGCGTGCGTGCGTGCGTGCGTGTGTGTGGTGTGTGTGTGTGTGTGTGTGTGTGTGTGTGTGTGTGTGTGTGTGTGTGTGTGTGTGTGTGTGTGTGCCACGTTTGCGGCCGCCTGTTTCGTCGGCGCGCTGACATGGCCCGGCACAAGTGCACAGCAGTCCGACAGCTCCCCGTATCACAGCAGCCTGGGTCGGTGCAGTGTCCTGCCTGCAGTAAATCGCTCCGGAGCGGGGGTGGGCTTGCAGTGCATAAGTGCCAAGAGAGTGACAACTGTGACGACCGACCGCCTAGTGATGCTCCTCCTGTTGCCGAGGTCCCGGTGTGTACTGCCTGCCAGCGTACTTTCAAGTCTACTGCTGGCCTCAAGCGCCATCGCTGTGGACCCCGCCCGAAGCGCCCTACAGTGACTGATCGCCAGCACTTTGAACATCATTGCCGAGTCTGTAATCAACGCCAGTTTCGGAGGCGACAGGACCTGGAGCGCCAGTTGAAGCACTGCCTACCTCTCCCCTAACCTTTCTGACAGTACCTCCCTTTGGGGAGCGGCGTGGCCATTTCTGGCAGCTGTCAATAGTAGTAGTAGTGTGTGTGTGTGTGTGTGTGTGTGTGTGTGTGTGTGTGTGTGTGTGTGTGTGTGTGTGTGTGTAGCACACATCATAGAACTGGTAAGTGGTAGATGTAGAATACATGGCAGTAGGTTCACCAAGTGCAAGTCGATCGTTTTTTCAAAAACATAATTGCAAGAGGATTCCAAAGGGGATTGCACAAAAAATTCTAAAAAAACTCAAAGTTTGACACATTTATGGCCAAAAGCTAGAAGTCCATCTTTTTATGAATAGACTGTAGTGTAGAGAGAGAGTCAGTGGCTTTAAGCCCATTTAATGACTAAGGTGAAGTTAATGGTGCACGCTTGGAGTTGGCGACTTCGGGCCAAGTCAGAGCGAGGTAAATGTTCGGTACCTGACCAAAAAAGAGAATCATTCCGGATTAAAATCACGTTTACTTTACACATGGGGAGAATGAAAATACAAAATTGTTTTGTCAAGTGCGTCACAAGTGGCACACTGACCGAGTTGAATTCCTTCACCTCGGCATCGCCAATACCTTCAGTGCAACCCTTGCTACCCTGGCAGCCCTTGTAACCCTTGCAACCCTGGTAACTCTTTGCAACCCTTGCAACCCTGGCAACTCTTTGCAACCCTTGTAACCCTGGCAACTCCTTGCAACCCTTGTAACCCTGGCAACCCTTGTAACCCTGGCAACCCCTTTCAACCCTGGAAACCCTTGTAACCCTGGCAACCTTTGCAACCCTTGCAACATTGTAATGCTTCTTTTGAGTTCCATTGTTGCCAGTGGCAACTCAGCACTTGGGTATTGAGTTGAAAACCAGCGAATATTAGAGAATCAAACTAA